ATTTTTCACGAAACCGTGCTGAGAGTCAGTCATAAATTGTCGGAAATAGGTTTGAATATGAGGACAAACGATTGATTCAAGAAGCTTGGCTAATGTAGAAAGTATCGAGATTGGCCGATAATTCGAAACAATACCAATATCACCTGATTTAAAGACTGGTACTACCTTTGCAAGCTTCCACAGATCTGGAAACACTCCAGTAATAAATGACTCATTTATAATTTTACACAAAGGAAAAGCTAAACTATCAGTACAATTTTTAAGAAATATTGGCGCTAATCCATCGGCACCAGTACCTTTGGTAATATCTAAAGTTTTGAGTTTATTAACAATAACATTGAGATCAACGGTAAGACTGGAAAAACATGAACTCCCATTATCAATGATTCTAAGACTTTCAACTTCAGAATGGGGTCCTTCTATTGGATTATCACCATAGACCCTTGAATAAGTTGCAGCAAACAATTCACAAATGCTTTGGCCATTGTTTGCTATAGTGATACCATCTGTGACAGACCTGGGATAGGCACTAGACCCTCCACGTTTGCTTTTGATAAATGACCAAAAGTATTTTGAATTTTGCCTAATCGTTTTCTCTATGTTAACAATATAATTATTATAACACTCTTTAGCTAACTTATCGCATCTTTGACTTAAAATTTGTAGTTCAATTTCGTCTAAAGGGTTACTATATTTTTTATACTTAAGCCGAAGTTTATTTTTTTCCTTTAGTCTTGCAATCAGCACTTTATTAAACCATGGGGGGTGACGTTTAAGCAATTAACATTTTTAATTGGAACAAATTTTTTAATGACTTCATTTATAGTATCATAGAATATTTCTAACATCCTATTCACGTCATTGCATAGGGAGAAGATTGAGTCCCAATCCAAACTAAAAAAGATACTTATTTATTGCCTCATAATCAGCCTTATAAAAATTATACTTAAGAACACTCATATTAGGCGTTAGTTTTTCTGTTTCATCAGATGCGATATAAGTGCATATAGGTGGATGTTGTGGATCGATGTTGGATAAAACATCATAAGCAGAAGACACAGTACAGTTATCAATATCTGTAAGAACTAGATCCAATATTTTATCTCTAGCGTTAATTATACAGTTAATTTGTTTTAGATTATTAACAAAAGTAAAATCTATTAATGTTTGACAAAGACTGGTGGTGCAGTAGCTTGAATTGTGATTAACCTGCGTCCATTCTATATTACTCATATTAAAGTCGCCAATAATACATAGATGTCCGTCAAAATTCTCAAGAACCGCATTACAGTTATTAACAAAATGTTCTAACATGCTACGTTGAATTGGTGGTGGGAGGTAAACGGCGCAAAGTGCGATCTTTTTAACTACTGAAAAAGGCAGATTTATCACAATCCAAAGATCTTCACATGCACTATTCCATTCATTTATACAGTCAGAAGATAAGCTTTTTTTGACCGCAACCAGAACCCCACCTCCATCCTTGCCACCATGAAATCCTGACGTTTCTCTATCCCTTCGGAATACTGTGTAACGGTTATCAAATAGTTCGGAGCTCAATACGCTGCTGTTTAACCACGTCTCTGTTAAGACTATTACATCATAGTCACTAGTTGCTAACTTACGATTAAATGTTTGTGTTTTGGTCCTAAGACCTCTAACATTCTGGTAATAAATTACAAGCGAATTAATATTAGCAGATGACATTATATTTTAACTTTATATTAACTAATAGAAACAATTAGCGAATTACTCTAGTTTTGATAATGAATCAAAATTTTTAATTTGAATAAAGCCTGAATTTTCACTTTTTCTTAGAAATATACGTCCACCTCTCACCCAAACAAATTTAAACCCTTTTTCCTTTGCAGTCTTCCTCGCCGCCGAATGCAATTCCTTATTTGCAGCTGACAAGTGCTCTGTTACGTATACCGGAGTCTTAGGACCATTAAAACCAAGGTGACTAGAGTTCAACTTGTTATCCGGGTTAGCTTTATTAAATTTGATTGTGGCTGCTAAGAAGCTATCTCGTACTCTAGTGTTATTAAATTCAACTATCACTGAACGAGGACGATCATTATTCGGGTTGAGTTTGGCAATTCTTGTTATTCGATTTATCTGTTCAGTTTTGATGTCACACTTTACTATACTGCAAATGTTGTTGAACACCGTGAAAAGATTTTCTGACTTCTTCTCTGGCAAGCATTGAATTTCGACGTTGCTGCTGCGGGCGTTCTGCTCAAGGTTGTTCATGCGTGTCTCAAGATATTCTATAGTACTCTGCAATTTGGCATTTGTTTCAATCAGACTCTTAGTATCTTCCAGAGACTTAGTATTTTTATTTTGAATATCTTCACATTTTCTATTCATATCATCCATTTTCTGCTTCATGTTACAAATTTCTTCCCGAAATGTTTTAAGTTCAGTATCTAGAATGGAACGCACGTTTTTGGTCATCTGAACCATAAGGTCTGATATATGCTTTTGAATAATTTCCTCCATAATGTTACGCACCTCTGTACGTGTTACAGGGCCTTCAATTTCAATTTCCGGGGGGGATGACAATGCCTGTCTTTTGGAGGCTCGTACTGTAATATTAGGGTCACATTTTACTGGTGTGTTATCCTTATTGCCAGTCGCGTGGAGAGGTCTAATGCAACATGGACCGATCCAGTCAATAGCATGCTTTATCGCTTTCAAATTGTCGACATCATTGGTTAGACATTTAAGATGATATGCCTTGTTACATGTGTTGCAAAGCTTATAAATATTATCTTCAAACCCTAAAGAACAACAACCCCATTCAATTAAATCTTGATCCATTTTATAATATAATTTTAGTTATACTTGTCGTGATAAATAAATTATATTTTGGCACAGCAATAAATGCCCGAACCAAAAATCCACAGCAACAAAGTCGTTTTTTTTTTTTTTTTTCACAACAGTTTTTTTTTTCCAATCGACACGGGAAAGATTCACTTCCGTCGCGTCGGGTACATTAACAAAATTATAAGTCACAGTTTATAACGGCGCGGCAGTAGGTTAATTATTCGTTAACAATTACTTTCAATTTGAAAGTTTATAGGTATTTTAAGATTAAAACACAATACTCTACACAACGTTAAATTTAAAGTTCACTTAATTATCACTTGTTTCAGTATTTTAAACGTTCTTAACATAAAGAAAAAAAATTAAATTCGCGGAGCAAAATGACACCGCCGCGTTCACAACGATGCACCAGACAAATTTTAAGATATTTATGGAAAATCTTGAGAATAATTCATTATTATACTGAATATTTTATTTCATAGGAATATTGTAGGTACAAAATTAACCTAAAACCATTTAAAAGTGTTTGTATATTTTGTTAAATGTGAATGTTCATAACTGTATATCGATTTTCAACTAGAACTAGTTATGGACAAAATGTCCATAATTGAGTATCTATGTTTTCATAGCAATTGCCTTCGTTTTACATTTGTTGTATCGTCTTTGGGTACATTCTATTTATGCTACTATAACATGGATGCAATCCAGTCATGGACGTGGATGTCCAACATTGGTTGTTCATTAGGGGATTTCAAATAAAATTTTAATTTTGTGGTTTTCGTTACTAGCCATGGCGCCCAAAAGAAAATATACGCCAGAACAAATGCGACGTGCCATAGAGGCGGTCAAGAGAGGGGAAGCAGTGAGTGCAGAAGCATCTAAATATGGTGTACCTCGTATCATGCTTAGAAATAAGGTGACGGGGATAAGCCCTGCGGTTTGTTCAATGGGCCCAGCTACAATTCTTACGGTTCAAGAAGAGCAAATATTAGTACAATGGCTTTTTGCACTAGCCGATCGATATTTTCCTATATCACGAGAACAGTTACTGGACAGTGTCCAACAAATAATAATTAAGGACAACAGGAAAACACCTTTTACTAACAATCATCCTGGAAAGACGTGGTGCCAAGCATTTCTTAAAAGACATCCTGAGATTTCGGAACGAACTGCACAAAATCTAATAACATCACATGATAATGTCACTGAACAACAAATCAAATCTTGGTTTACTGAGTAAAAATTACCTTCGGGAGCAAAACCTTGAGCATTTGCTGAAACAACCTAGCAGGATATATAATGCAGATGAAGGTGCATTCTTTTTATCGCCAAAATCTGGTTGTGTCTTAGTAAGAGGGGGTGATAAGAATGTGTATACCACATCTGGTAATGAGAAAGAAAACTTGACTGTTTTAGTAACTGCAAATGCTGCTGGTCAAATAGCACCTCCTATGATAGTGTTTGCTTATGAGCGTGTGCCTAAACCTATATCTGATAGCGTCAGGTTCAGGTTCGATTGCGATCAGAATCAGGCTGGATGTGTAGTGAGACTTTTTATGAGTATTTCACAAATATATTCCACCCATGGTTGATCGAGAAAAAAATAGAGTTACCAGTCTTATTATTTTTGGATGGTCACGGATCACATTTGACGACACATCTTTCAGACTTCTGTGCAAAAATGGAATAGAATTAATTGCTTTGTATCCAAATAGTACGCATATATTGCAGCCATTGGATGTTGCTGTCTTCCGACCATTAAAAGTATTTTGGAAGAGGCAGATCACTAAATGGAAGACTGAACATCTGGGTCAACAAGTTTCGAAAACTTCTTTTGCACCTATACTGAAAAGCGGTTTAGATGAAATTACTAAAGATTGTATTAGTAATGGTTTTCGAGCTGGCGGCATATGTCTATTTGGACCGGAATATATTAATTTTAGTACGCTCAACTCAAAAAATGGATCAGCAGAATTCACAAAAAAAAAACATGAAAAAGAAAGAAAAGTTACCATCGGCGATTACAAGTAAGGCGTGGAAGGTGTACCATGAAAAGAAAGAAGCAGAAAGACGTAGACTACAAGATGAAAAAGAAAACAGAACCTAGGTGAGAGCAGAAAAAAAGAAAAAACTTGGAAGAAAATAAAAATAAGAATAGGTTAAAAGGAAAAATGAAAAAGGTACAGAAATATTCATCGTCAGACGACACCGACTTAGTACTTGATTACGCTGAAAGTGGTGATAGCAAATGGAATGAAGATAGTGATTCAATTGTAGAGAATACGGAAGGCGAAAATAAAATGGTGACTGTAAAACGAAGACTGAAACTTGCTTTTCATAAAAGGCCACAAAAAAAGAGTCAAAAACATCTTTCACACTCTGTATCGGATCTTGAAAATATGCCTTTAAGTTCACTGGCGTCTTCTAGCAGTAAAGTTTCTGTAAAAGATTTAAAAACAGGTTGTTATGTAATAGTTACATATGAAGGTGAATATTTCCCGGGTAAAATTGAAGACAAAAATAGAGGGATGTACGAAATTAGTACAATGGTACTATCAACTGGGTACACTTTCAGTTGGCCAGACAGAGCAGATAAAATCTGATATAAAATGAGTGACATTATTGAAATAATGAGACACCCTATAAAAAACATAATAGAGGATTCTTTAAAGTTGCAGAGATAAATACATTTTTACCTGATATATACATGACATAGATTATACATACTTATACATACAAACATACATACATACCAGAGACATTAGGAGGTGCGTCTACTATTCATTAGATACTTATGTCTGTTATTATGTGTAATTTAACTAACTTAAGTAAGCTATTTGTATAGGTAATTTTATTGTTTTCGTCTTTTGAAGTTTTATATCTATGACTACTAAAATTATTGTTGTTGTTTGTTTAAACTACCACTTACTAATGTTTAGTAGTACCTACTAATTTGTGCATTTTATTTCTGCTGGTACCAATTTTGTTCCTCAAAGTTTAATACTTACTAGTCTTATCATTTATATTCAACATGCCAAAGTAAGTGAGGCAAATATTTGTTGTCTCTATGTGTTCATTACTAGACGTCCATTACTGGAGATTGTCCATTAATGGGTATCCATAATTAAATTTTGCCTGTCCATCACTAGTGATTAGGAGTGACTTTGATTTAACTTTTTTTTTCAAACATATATAACCTGGTATTATATTTTTCTTTATTGTAAATGATTCCCAAGAAACCGTTCTTTAATTTTTTCATATCAAAATATTTAATTTCATTAAAAGTCGTTTGCAGTGTTATATTATCCGCAAACCTTTTCTAAAACTGTCCATAACTGGTTCCATTACCTTATTGAGATTTAATCAATTTTCGTACCTATTGATAAAATGACTTTACCGTTAGAATGTAGTAAGATAGCGCTATTACAAAACAATTATACTCGAAAACATAATATATTCTTTTGATATTTTTTCGAGTATAATTGTTTTGTAATAGCGCTAAATTTAGGCTTTAGAATGTCTAAAAATAAGGATTCTAACATTTATTTGCTTTATAAATTAAACGGCACGGAACTTCGTGGCACAGTGGCTTAGCAATAACATAGTAAAAACAGAATGTTTACTATGGCAATGAGTTGCAACGCTGGGGGACGCGCCGCGGGTTCGAATCACGCACGGAAAGGTACCTATTTGTATGGCCTACAAATAGTTGTTCCGGGTCTGGATGTTTGTCCTTGCGCAATTTATGTTTGTAAACTGCCTCAATAATACAGAAGAAAATCCAGGGTTATTTTTTAAAAAGAATAATAAAATATCTTTTATCTTTTATTTTTGCCGCACTTGTGGTCGAAATAAATATATTAAAAAAATCATTTGTTGTGAAAATTATATTATGCAAATTTTACATTTTAATGAAATGTTTGAATGTGCATTTGAAGGTTTCACTTCTACCGCGTGTGATCTGCAAACATGTTTTTTTTTTAAGTTATTACTCTGAAAAATGTCACCTTTATCACTTGCCAATTCTCTTATTCACTGGCTCACTCATCGAAAACCTAAGTACGCCGCTTCTATATAACTTGCAAACCTAAAATTTTACATAAAAGGTAGATTATTAGGAGCCTAAATAAGTCCACAGGTCAACATAGGCCTCATGGAAGGAACTTTGCTGTTGTTTCCACGCTTGGCTGATGTGTTGGCATCGCAGTTTTATTTAAATTTTGTGTTGATATCAGGAAGATGCAGCTGTTCATCAATGTTTAGGTTCTCTCTGTCGCTTGTTACGATATTCACGTGTCGTGATGGGGTAGTGGATATACTTACACCGACGATTCGCAATTTATTAGGCGTATATACCTATACGTAGGAAACAAACTACAAAAATATTTTGGTGCTAAGACAAAGTTTATCGAAAAAATAATGACCTGCCTTCAGAAGTAATTATGTGGTAAAATATTTTTGTTTATTTTATTAGTTTTGAAGTCGATTTGTAATTTTTATCAAAATATAATTCTTAGTTAATTATTTTTTTATATTATTAATAATAAGTACCCGGTTGACCGAGCTTTGCTCGGTATTTTTCGCTCGGTTTTTTTTTAATTCGTGTGTTTTGGAAATTATATTTAGATACAAATTACATACTGATGAAATATGAATAATATTTTTTGATCTTAGCGACATAATAGAAAAAACTGAACTGGTTATTTGAATAAAAAATCATGAGTGCAATTAGTTTAATTTAAATTTTCGTGTTTTTAAAAAATACTAAAAAAAAGGGCTCGAAAAAATAGATTTTCTCAAAAAAAGAAAGGAAAAAAAAAGTTGGTCGGTCGGTCTGGGCTCGAACCGGGGTTTTACGATTCTGTGGCCGCCCATTATGTCGCCTCTACACGTTGGCCAACACAGTGGCGAATGTAGTGGCGAATATAATGGCCGAGAGTTGGTGACGGCGTCCACACGTTGGAAGGTCGTTCAGTTTACTTCGGTTCGGGCCAATGTGCGGACGAATTTATTTTATTTTAGACGACGGCTCCGTGGCGCAGTGGCTTGGCAATGAGTGGCTGTGCCAGGGGTCGCGGGTTTGCATCCCGCACGGAACAAGTATTTGTATGTCCTACAAATTATTGTTTCGGGTCTGGATGTGTGTCCTTGTGCAATTTATGTTTGTAAGCTGCTTTCGCGATACAGGAGAAAATCCAAGTGTGGGGGGTAACATTTTTATAAAATAATTATAAAAGAATAGTGAATATTAATGGGGCTGTGAATAGATATACGATATATGATTAGCTTTATTTATTCTTTACATGCATCAGACTCTGGAATAAATACCATTAATTAGAACTTAACTTATTTTAAAGTTAAAGGAGTTATAATCGATTAGTCTATGTTTTAAAATTGGGTTTTGTTTTTAGCAAAACATGTACTTGCTTTTCTATCAGACATTTGATGTATATAAAAAACACCTTATAATTTATTTGGTAATTTAATTATTTTTTGAGAAAGACAAAAACAATAGCAATAAATATAATTAACACTGACTTAATAATAGGTACTAATTATAACTTAGAACATAAATGAAAAACTCATGACAAGGAAAGTCGCTCAGGACCATGCTTTGCGGCATTCTTTGGAGGAGGATGTTCAGTAGTGGACTTGTGAAGAGCTGTAATGATGATGATGATTCGAAAATTTGTTTATATAGGATGTAATTTTTTATATAGGATAGGGTGACAAACGAGCACACAGTTCACCTGATGGTAAGTGGTTGCTGTGCCCCACAGACATCTACATCTATCCTCGATTACGAATCAAAATGCAGATGCGTTGTCACCCGTGAGCACTAAGATGAAATGCTTCGTTTCCTTTAAAATGTGTCTCTGGTTCTCTACACTCACTATACGAAACACAGTATCATTAAGCTACTATTTTACACTAGTATTCTGTGAGAGCGTGGTCCTTCCCCGGTCGAACCGACCCATTCGTGATACAACTATACTTCTAATATAACTGCATGGTTCTACCACGTATAAACGACGTGCTTCATTTTTTTTTCATTTTAAAATTGTTCTCGTAATAATCTGATTGTAAATAAATGTTCATTATTTCATTATAAAAAATAATGAACATTTATTTACAATCAGATTATTACGAGAACAATTTTAAAATGAAAAAAATGAAGCACGTGCGTGGTAGAACCATGCAGTTATATTAGAAGTATAGTTGTAGCACGAATGGGTCGGTTCGACCGGGGAAGGACCACGCTCTCACAGAATATCAATGTAAAATAGTAGCTTAATGATGCTGTGTTTCGTATAGTGATTGTAGAGAACCAGAGACTTTTTTAAAGGAAACGAGGCATTTCATCTTAGTCCTCACGGGTGACAACGCATCTGCATTTTGATTCGTAACCGAGGATAGATGTAGATGTCTGTGGGCCACAGTAACCACTTACCATCAGGTGAACTGTGTGCTCGTTTGTCACCCTATCCTATATAAAAAAGCGTCGATTTCTTATAATTTAATCGTGCAAGTTTTCGAATCATCATCATTACAGCTCTTCACAAGTCCACTACTGAACATCCTCCTCCACAGACTGCCGCAAAGCATGGTCCTGAGCCACTTTGCTCGTCATGAGTTTTTCATTTATGTTCTAAGTTATAATTAGTACCTATTATTAAGTCAGTGTTAATTATATTTATTGCTATTGTTTTTGTCTTTCTCGAAACATAATTAAATTACCAAATAAATTATAAGGTGTTTTTTATATACATCAAATGTCTGATAGAAATGCAAGTACATATTTTGCTAAACTTTAATATCAAAACCCAATTTTAAAACATAGACTAATCGATTATAACTCCTTTAACTTTAAAATAAGTTAAGTTCTTATTAATGGTATTTATACCAGTTTATGATGCATGTAAAGAATAAATAAAGCTAATCGTATATCGTATTTCTATTTACAGCCCCATTAATATCCACTATTCTTTTATAATTATTTTATAAAAACTTAACCCCCACACTTGGATTTTCTCCTGTATCGCGGAGGCAGCTTGCAAACATAAATTGCACAAGGACACACATCCAGACCCCAAACAATTATTTGTAGGATATACAAATACATGTTCCGTGCGGGATTCAAACCCGCGGCCCCCGGCACAGCTACTCATTGCTAAAGCGGGCTACATACGACACGATATCGGTGGCGATCTAGGGTGGAAAGAAATCGGGGCTTTTATCGGGGCAGACCCTACACACGGGCCTGCCTAGCAGTACGCGTTCGGACTTGGAGCGGAACGCATATGCGGTAGATTTCTTCAAAATAGCTTCAATTCTCTTAAAACACCAACGTGTTGGTTTGGCATTAGCCCTCTCGGTTAATTTATTCGAAAATAGAAAAAGAGAAGTTGCTGGGTGGAAAAATGGCTCCAAAAGAGATAAAAATTAAGCCACATAAACGTACTAAATGGCCTGTAATCCAAGGACGTGATTAATTTTCTCCGGATGGATGAAGACAGTTTTTATAACCTTCTAGAAATGATTTCGCCACTTATATAAAAACGTCAATTTCTCCTACCTATGCTATTTAGTTATTTCTTCTCTT